AAATATAAAATGTCAATATCTTAACAAATAAATGAACCATTAAAGATATGTAAACTAAAAGAAAATACGGAGCGGATTATTGCAACAGAACTTTTGTACGGTTTACCGGTTCTAATTACATAGAAAATACTCAGCTCAGTAAGAATTAAAAAATCAAATGTTTAAGATTTCCTAAATCATTTCAGATAAATTTAAGAGCTCCCAGCTTAGTAATTTTCTCCTAACCAATATCAAAGTCAGTCACAAAAAATTTGACACAAGGTCACATCTGCTTCCTAGAAAAGCAGATCTTCTGTCTTCTCAGTAACATCAATCTTATTGAAATGGTAACGCTGAACATGGTGACTGCACCACTTCTGCTTTACTAAAGAGGGATATGTGATCGTAGTTATGAGAACAAACAGCTCTTTAGCCTAGCGATTACAAGGAGTTTTGCGACAATGGTGACTTCTTTCAGTTACAGACCATATTATTATTATTTTTAGATAAATTAATTTCGCAGTAAGGTCCGATCCGCAGTAGTGAATAGCTAAGCAGATTCTTGGGATGATATGTGGCTCACTTAAAAAGTGGAACACAGTTAATAGGTTTGCACTAAACTAAGAAGAATAGAACATGTTCACAGAGCAAACAATAAAATCGAATGACAAAGGACAATGTTGACAAGGCGTGCTTACAACCATCCAGTAGGAGGAGATTTTAGCGGGTAAGTATCTAGTATCCCCTAGGCCCTCGATGCTTTACTGCTCAACAAACAGATACAGATACATACATGTTATAAAAATTTTGAACATGCGTTTTGTCAAGTTTTATAAATAAATCTTGTCAATATAATTTAAATAATATAAAACAATTAAATTAAATTGCGAATTAAGAATAACAGAATTAAGAAAACAGATTATAAATAAAATATGTTTTTCTATAATTATAAAATTTATTCTAAAACTATATAATTATAATGTACATATGCAAACTGCACGAACCATACACAGAGAGTGAGTAACTCACTTTCTGATTAGGGAAATATTTGTAATGCACAGTTATTATTTTCGTATCTATCAGTTTGAATATAATGAAGTATAATTGAAAAAATAAATTACTAATTTAGTTTTATCTGCAATGACTTCACTGTTATTTTCCTCAATAAAAAAAACAAAATGAGTATTGAGTATATTTTCGTTATCAGAGGAAGACGACCAAATATAATATTTTATGCATCGATTCGATATGAAGTGATATGGTTTGATTGCCATAAATAACAGAAATATTTCATTTTCATTTCCATTTTCATATTCAGATACAGTCTCAGTATCTCAGGCCTGCATAATAAAATAATTGAAAGTAAACGAACTGCCGCAGAATTCAAGGCAAGTGCCCCACTCACATTAATTAAAATTTTTAAAAATAAACTCAGTCCCATTCCATTTTGAAGTCGCGAGCACTTCGTTTTAAATATGTGCGGCTTGGATGTCGGTTGACGCCGCTGGATGGATAACCCATGTTTCAAATGGATTCATAAATTTCGAATTTAATGCCCTTCATATAGTTATGGTAGCGAACTATAATTAAATTACTTTGCTTCTGTGTGAGGGGGTGCTGGAGTGCATTATACTTATTAATATGTATTATACATTTTAGGGATATGCATTAAGTGAACCTTTAGATTTTGTGATGGAGTCTAAGAAATTTTAATTTTCTATGATGTATATGATGTATTCAAAGCTATTGGAAAATTTATAATAACTTTTGAAACAATAATATGCAACATAAAATATTTCGATTCAATTAATTTGTTTTAAATATTTTGAAATTAAAATTATGCAGAAGTACTTGAGTAACAAAAAGGTTTTCATAAAATATTTATGAAACTCCATTGAAGTTCAAGTAAATACTGTATATGTTATTTAAATGAAAGCAGGGATAATGTATAGAGATTTCTTAATGTTTTTATTTTTGTAAAAATTTTAGTATATATACTTAATAAAAATCAATTGGAATATGTCATGCGTGACTTTTGAATATTTAAACATAAGCAGGAACTGTATTATAGAATATGAGAGAATGGTTTCATGAAAACTATTAAGACTAATTAAAAACACAGGAAAGGATAAAGTAGGATTAATTTCAAGAAATGTGACATTCATATCACGTATAGTAACTAGAGTTAAACGGTAATGCCAAGAGATCCATTGTGTTACGTATAGTACTATATATATTAATTAAATTCTAAAAAAAATATTTTCCAATTCTAATTAAGACGATATTAATTTAGTTTATATAATGTAACTTCCAACAGCTCAAGTAAAAATCTTCAACATAGAAAATTTTTATACCTAATATTAATGATTTTTAAGAGAATTAAAAGAAACTATAATAATTAATAAAATAAAATCCATGTCATTAGAACACAAAAATAGAGTTATTAAAATCTTAGGGCATTGAAAATTTAAAATAATATCGTCAATATATAAGTTGACCAAAATTTATAAGGGAATTATCAAAAATAGCACAACTAATAATTTTTAGGCTCTTAGCATAACGTCTAATATCCGAAGTTCAAATTTTCTAAGAGAATATAAAAGCGAGTCCCAATATTCCAACCAATCACTTTATATATCATACATCATTAAGGATATTAATGCCATTTCTAGATTTTTAACCAATTATTTTATCACCGACCCATATTTAAAAATTATAAAATAAAATACAGAAAAAAATATTATACATTTGACTTTTCTGCATAATATATGATATATATTGATTTCCAATGAACCTTTGAAACGATGTTAACTCTGGTATGTACATTATATTCAATTTTGGAGAACGCTCACTTTTATTTTATTGGATAGATGGAAGATTAGTTGACAACTGATGAATATTTGATTAAGTTTTGTTTTTCACGTTCAAAGTTATTGCAAAACAGAGTGAAGTGAGTGAAATTCAAAAGAAAACATTCATAAATTGTACAATTTTACTACGATGAAGAGAAGATTGCACCACAGACATATGAAAATATTTGTGGTAAAAGTTTTTCATTGCAATCTATTGCCAAAAAATCATACAGTCACTTTTATTTAAACAAATTTAGATATGAAAGTTATAACTACTCTGCGTAGATCCTAAAATAAATCTATGAAATAATGGATTACATTCAAGAAGACCGGTATATGGGCATTTACTATATTCCTAACGAACTGAAGTGCCACAAAGGAGTTTTTAACTATTTTTAACGATATCATCCCTAATGTCAGGAATTATTGTCTTCAAAGCAAGAAAGTGAAAATAGATGTTGATTATAAAAAAAGTGACACTCATTTTATATGCGCTGAAGAAAATTTAGAGGTCTTGAATTGAGGCATTGGATATTGGTTAGACACTGTAGACAAGTTGCAATTATTAATAATCATAGCTAAAGAGTTCTATTTAATATTCTGTTTATTCTGTTATATATATATACATATAACGGTATAGTAATAACTTTATTAGTGATATGTTCCAATTAGTACAATCAGTTCTTAATGCCGATTAGGAACTGCTTACTATTGGGTATTCCAGATGATTTATCTAATACAATTTTTAGTACAATATTTCCGGTTTTAAAATTAATAAATGTATCTTCAGTTGTTAGGAGTAAATAATATAATAATTTTTTTTTAGTAGATGGGAAGCTTTAAACACCTCGGTGTGACTGTTGAATCCACTTAAACCATCTCTAGGAGCACATAAAGAATAGATTACAACTGTTGGATTGTGTAGTTCAAAATACCAAAACTCTATTCCAGTAATCAATGGAAAAAGAGCTATAGTAGAATCGTGAGGATTAACATTTATAAAATCAATTGAACTAAGCCAACATTTCCAAAAATATCACGACATGAGAATGAATGAAGTATCAATGAAGTTGCGGTTGAAACAAATAGTTATTTTGTTATAAATTAGACAGTAACTTAATTTTTTGAATTAAAATTTGTTTTCTTAGAAAATTTAAATATTTACTTTCAAAAAAAAAAAACTCAAAGAGTAAAATTTAAATTAAATTTAAAATTTGTAGCTTTAACAAATCCGTTAGAGTTTTGGCGGTTTTTGGCAGTATCTCGCACCAGCCGTTGTATCTTTTATTATTGTTTTATGTTTCATGTATCGTATGTGGGCTAGTTTATAGCTCTCAGCAATATCTAAAATTATACTTTATTTCTTAAATTTTTTTTGGTTTGTGATTTTTTTTTTTTGATTATTTTTTTTTTTGTTTTTGTTAAGAAGTTTCGTGTTTTTTATTTTGTTTGTTGTAACGTGACATTTAAAAAAATTGGTACGACTTTAATATCTACACAACAAAAATCAAAAAAAAAAAATTTATACTCAACCGTGACAAATTCGTATATTTTTAGAAGGCAGAAAATCGAAGTTTTTCTAAAGAAAAAGTTGATAATTAAATTTCGTTTATTAAGTATTTCATTTTATTTAAAATTAAAAATAAAATATAAAAAACTTGTGAAAGAAGTCAACAATCTGAACGTGGAATGTAAAGTGAAGAAATGACTTGATATCTTAACAAAAATACGGATACATATATGTATGTATATATACTACATGTATGAGCATTTATCTGAGTGAGTATCTTTGTCGTCAAGACATACATATATAAGGAACAAGACATAGCGCTTTGAATGCAACACTTATGGAATATCAATTCCTCGGATTTCACTTGTTTAGCATAAAAAAGAAATATGAGTGCGAAATGTTGCGGCTGTTGTTGTTGCTATTTTTCGGAATTGTTGTAGTATCTTTTGGATACATTTATACTTGCGCATAAGGGGAAACTGTTGTAGATGAAGATTACGACATGACGTTGTGCACTCTTGAAGGTTATTTTCTGCTTTAAGTTGATCTCCAAGAAGTTCAACTTTTCAACTTTTGTTTAAGAAAACAAAAAAAAAAAAACAAAAACAAAAAAAAACAAATAATAAACGAGAATTTTACTTCACTTTTGCTTTACTTACCCTTCTTGGTTTGGTTTCGACCATTTGTTCAACTTCAATACCGTCAGACATGATTCTGGCTGTTAGTTGTTAGCTGCTTGATGCTCGATTCTGGGTTCTGGATGCTGTAAGATTTATGCTGTGTGCTGTGTGCTGGGTGTTGTTAAATGCTTTTGTACTGTATGAGAATGCGCTGGCAGATACTTTTTGTGCTGTTATGTGAAGTTGTGGCAGTTTTTGTGCTTGTTTGCTTTGGAAGCTGTGCGTGCACACTGGAGCACTGTTGGAGTAGTTAAGTATTAGGGACAGAAGCTGTCTGTGTCTGCGTGTTTGTATTGGCGTTTAGCCGGTCTTCATATGACGTACAAGTAGCGTTTAAGACACCAAATTAAGGCAGACAAGGAAACTGATGTAAAGTGAAGAGATAAAAAAAAATAAAAAAAAAATTTTTTAATTTTTTTCTTAGATTTAAATACGGTTTAAATTTAAATAAAAGAAAAAAATTTATTAAATTTCTAGAATAGAGAAAGGCGAATTGAAACTGGTTTTCGGCCACATAAGAATTTAAGTGTGCGAATATGAGGACAATTTATAACGTTTTATTCTACTGTTTATTTTACTGTTAAAGGATAACAACTTGGGTGAAAAAAATTCTCTTGAAAAATTTATTTATGTGCACTTATATTTTCATTCGATCAGTTAAAATAATTATTTTATTGTTTAAGGTATTTTTTTTTATTTATTTTATTTTATTAAATTAATAAACACCTTTTATTTTGTTTAAAGCTTGCCGACGTTATAAAAAAATCACAAAATTTAAAATAGCACAAAATTGCACTTTAAGAAATTGAAATTGAAATTTAAAAAAAATATTATTTTAGGTATTAGCTTAGGTTTAACCGTCAACACGACAAACTCGAAAATAGACGTCCAACTCGCACGGTTGTTGCTCTCGAATAAAACTCGAGTGACTACAGTCGCAATGAATGAAGTGGAAAATGTAAAATCCAAAAACACAAAGAAAATAAATCAAGCAAAAAAGTATCCAAACAGTCCACAAAGCGGCACGGAGCGGCACACACAACTCCATATATGTAAAAGAAAACAAAGCGAATAAACACAATAAAACACAAACAAAGAAAAACAAATAATGTAAAAGCACGTAACGCAACGCAACGCAAAGTCACAGACAAAAGCCAACAATCAAAGGCAAAATAAAAAACAAAAATAAAAAACAAAAACAAAAGCAAATGTAAGCGCAAACGCACAAATAAATCAAAAAAGTCAAATGAAATGAAATAAAGTTGCGTTGAATTGCATGAGTCAAACGTATGCCGAACCAGACGGACGTGGGACGCAAGTCAAGAACTGCAAGTTTGACAAAAGATAAATTCTATGGCGGCATTCATATAATCATGTTGTAACACACACAGATACTCACCAACACATGTGCCACCATAAACATAGATACGAACTCAAACAAATGCAAACTAAAAACTGCATACACAGTTAGGCAGAGTCGACTCTATCAAAGTTTTTCATGCCGCACAACAACAAAACGACAAAACAACAACAAGAACAACAACACAACTACAGTACTTTTGATAACAAAAGTGACAGTGAGTAAAAAACTTTTATAGACAAGCAATGTGCGACGGCTTCGCTTAGATTAGTTTGGGTCTACGGGAAGTATGAGTTCGACAATGGGATAGGTTAAGTAAGGTTATCACAGTGATCCGAGGCATCCAAGTGATAAGTATAAGTAAGTACACTAAATGAATGTTTAATAAAACTCAAAATGTTTTGTGAGTATCTAGGATCTTTTGGAAAGTAAATAAGCAGGTTAAATATATATGTATAGTATAAGTATATGGGAACCGGTGGTTCCCAACCGGTGGTTCCCAACCGGTGGTTCCCAACCGGTGGTTCCCAACCGGTGGTTCCCAACCGGTGGTTCCCAACCGGTGTTCCACGGACCATTTGTGGTTAAAATTGGTACGTGTATCAAATTTAACAGGTATGAATAAATAGCTTGTACTTGCATAAAGATGTATACAGCATATTAAAATAATTATACAGTTTATTATTCTTAAACTCTATGGTCCCTACTAAGGACAAAAATATCATAGAGCAACCTTGGTCAAAAAGAGTTTGGGAACCACTGCTTTAAATTAAAAAAAAATCTCGAATATATCTTTAATTTTCTGCTTCATTTGGATTACTTCGGATTTGGGTGAATTATTGAAACAGTTTGAGGTTTTATGCACCAGTGAGAGATACAGGAATTGTTGATAATGATGATGAATGAAATAGGTTAAGTAAGACTCTTATGTAGATTATGATTCTTATGATTCATAATTAATTTCAAACTTTACTGAAGCGCAAATGTTTATACATAGAGTCTTATAACTAACTAAACTCTCTCGGCAAAGATTTTAATACTCAGAAAGTAAATGTGAAATACATTGTTAATCTTAATTTTCGCTTAGATTGCTACGGGTTTGAGGAAATTAATGAGGTAGGTTAAGTAAGGTTATTTCGGTAATCCTAATCACTTGGTCTTAGATTGGGATTCAAACCATTTTTGAAGCATTAATAAAGCTTATAATGTTTTTAAAACGGGTTTCGTAATTCACTAAGGTCATTCGGTAAAGGACCTAAAATGACAAACTAAATCAATGAAGAAAGCGATTTAGGTTATTTTAGTGATTCTAGGCATCCAATTTAAAATAGCTGTGATGTAGGTACATCCTCATTCTTCTATACAAATGGAGGGAGAGTCAATATTCAATTTCAAAAGGAGTCAAGACTTTCTCTATTAAAGTTGGCTCGTGATGCGCATAAATGTATGCATATCATTAATCACTCATCTTGAAAATACGAGCAATACTCTTTGAGGACAGATTATACTGAAGGGAAATATAAAACTGAATCGAATTCATTGAAACTGAATCTCGCTCATTGACGTATAGAATCAAAAAAGTATCCCATATGTAATTAGGGACAAAGCTCAAGAACTTTATTGCCAACTGACTGCGTGCCAGTATAAATAAGTTCGTATTCAATATACTACACACTTTAAGACAAACTGCAGGTTTCCTGGCATTTTTGGCCGGAAGAACGCATAGTTTTTTTGTGTTTTTGGACTGTTCAAGAAGTCCATAATGTTTGAATATAACTAGAATTCAAAGGTAAATATACATTTAAATTCTAATGCTAAACTTCACTATCCACTCTCTAACCTATTTTAGAGCCATAAGTATGAATAGTTAAATCCCCCTTTTTAAATATTTTCCGACGAACTGGTATCTTTAGATAGAAAGTCGATAGTAAGTTTGCAATTGTAATTGAGAATTAGGGAGATGTGATCAATTCTTCGCATATATCGATTTGGGATAAGACTGTGCAGTAGTTTTAAGTCTAAGTTTATATTAAGAAACTACAATTCTAATGCAATGGAATAAGTAATACTTACGGTACCACTAATATAGAGTTTAGTATAAGTAGTGTGTTTAGTATAATGGAGGTGATGGATGTGATAACCACGTCGATGTGATAATATTAATTTCATATAATTGTAATAAATTTAGTGTTGTGAATCAGCAGCAACAATTAAATTACATTTGTCATAAGTTATGTTATCACAAGTGGATAGTTGGTGTGCAGTTCTATTTGGATGACGTAAAATAGTACTTACTGCGCTGTACTCTGGTTAGTACTACAAAGTTGAAGAATAGTTGAAGTTGGAAAAACGATTATTGTTATAATAGACATTTATTGTAATAAATGAAATTTATTCTAATTAATGATATTTAATGTAATAAATGACATTTACTGTAATAAATAACATTTATTGTAATAAATCACATTTACTGTAATAAATGACATTTATTGTAATAAATGACATTTATTGTAATAAATGACATTTATTGTAATAAATGACATTTATTGTAATAAATGATATTTATTGTAATAAATGATATTTATTGTAATAAATGACATTTATTGTAAAAAGTGTAATTTTTGCTAATGCTTTAATGAGGTTCTATTTGTGGGTTATTATAGTATTAGTTATTATTGACAGACTGACATTGGTATTGACAGACTGTATTGACTCTTTTAGTATTGACAGACTGACATTGTTTTATCTGTGTGGACAACTATGACTGGTCAAACAAAACGCGGACGGCATTGTTTGCGTTCGATATGCTTCGTTTACTTGTGTTTGTGACTGGCACTGCTTCTGATAAAAAATTTGCAAGTATAAATGCAAGTGTGTATATGTGAAGTGCAGAGGAGTAAGGATTTCCTTGTACGAGCTACGGCAGCACATGGTCGTCAAAGCTGTGAAGGGCGTTAGGCACCGCAAAGAAAAAGTGAAACCGGGAAAATTGAAAATGAAAATATTTAACTTTTTCAATCTGCGCAAATATATGACCAACAACATTGTCAACATAGTCTGATGATGATGATGACTGATTGATTGTTTGACTCATCAAGTAAGGAGAAAATTGATGATATATATAGTGAATTTAATAAGGCATGGAGAAAATGCAGGAAAAAACAGTTGTAGCAATTACAACAAATATTGATTGAAATATTTTTATTTAATGTTATTGAGCTGCTATATATTTACAGAGGGTGCCGGGAATAAATTGTATGATTTAGTTCTTTATAAGTTGTACAAATACCTGTTATTCCATAATTACTAAATCTATATATGTGAATTTATAAGGCAATAATAAAATAGATTTATGTTGGGAACGGTATATTATTTTTGGGTGCAAAACTGTGTCTTTCGTCCTCAATGACATATAATACTTTGTGTATGAAGAAGATAATTTTTTATGATAATAAAGTTTTAATTTGCTTTTATATAGCACTTAATATTGTCAAAGTGATTCCTAAATTACTGCTTATTTTTTTATTTTATAAATTTTACTATCTTTTTGCAAAATTAGAAAAATTCCGTCTAAAAAGAAAAATTATAGCACATTAATTATAAGTGAAATTATTTTCAAAAACACTGACTCTCCCATATTTACACGTTTCATTATAAAAGCACTCAAAGAACACTTAATCATAAACACATCACCATACCTAAATGGAAAAACATTTCATGATAAAATAGATAAGAACTAACAGTCCGCCAAGGTTATCCTGCCTATTTCGAATGTTAAATCACAGCTGCCACTCATATACAAAAGTATAAAAAATATATCCAGCGTTGTATTAAATAAATATTAGAAAAAAGATACACAAAAATAAACATTTAAGGCAATTCTATAAGACTAAACTTTTTCTAATTTTAGAAAAAAGTACAATAGAAAAGTCATCAAAACTCATTAAAAAATCCAGATAAGTCTAAATAGTATAATACTGTGCCAATTAATTGACTTAGCCTGCCGCCTATCGGTTGGCTGACTATAGTCAATAGTCTGATCTAACCTATTCTAAAATAAATAAGAGATGCGAAATTTTTTTTCTGAAGAACAATTACTGATAAATCCCCAACCCGGACTCTCTGACAAGTCAGAATATGAGTGTTTAAACTTGACATTATCTTGTGGTATCTTTAGGTTCGATCTAATTATCTAATTGTGGTTTAATACTTTAAAACTCGAACTATACTTGGTTCATTGACATCTGCTGTAACCTAATATTGATGGATCTGATTTTATTCGATAACACTGGAATTGCCTTAAGTTTATTAATAAAGAATATTGCCACTATTAGCTTAGTATAAATAAGGATTGGTATTATGCTTAATAAATCATTTGTTATTACTCTATATAATTTTATACTTATGGATTTTAGTCTCAAAGTATATTAGTTATCTTTTATATATTAACATACCAGTCAAGTTTTATAAATCTATTATACATTCTTCTTTCCTCTAAAAAGTTCAATTGAGATGGGAAAATAATACAACTTGTGCTAAAACTAAAGCTGGATATCTACAAATTCATTAAAAACTATAAAACTTAATTACTTAAATAGAACCGAAATCGGGAAGATTATATCCCTTGCAACTAGTTGTTGTGGTCTTTGCTAAATAGGCAGGCATGCAGATAAACTTGGAGTTCTAATTGACGAACTTTGATGCCTTTGCTGTGAGGAAGAAAAAATTTAATGTACAGATGTCTAGCCTTAGTCAGAAAAATTCTTGGAAAACACTTTTTTAAGAACCCCGAAGAACTATCAGAAAATGAAATTAAAACTCACACAAAATTCTTTAAGGATATTAATTACTTGAAAAGAAACAGCTAGCTCTTGAATCAGATATATACTTGTCATCAAAACTCTCTTGAAAGAAATTATTAAGAGAGGATACTTCTTAAAACAAGAGCTTTAGAATAATGTAATGTGGTCTTTGATTCGCCCTCAAATCTAACCTAAACCGATAATCTTATAATGTACTATATAGATAGTGACCATATCTAATCACGAATCACAATGTTGTCTATCTATTCTATTCTTTACAATCTATCTAAATATTAAAATATGTTACTATTTTAAAGCACTACACATTCTAAATACGAACATAATGATTATTTTTAAAGTCTATATCATAAATAAAAACTTCAGTTCCTTTCTAGATAAAATATAGTTAATTACTTGTGTAATATTTTTATTCAATATTCAACTCCTCTAAGCCACCAGTCCAAGAAATAATATTTTTATAATGCTTTTTGTCTATTTGTGTAATTATCTTCGCATTAGATTCCGTAAGCCGTAAGTGATCGAGCACCATTTGACCTCGCGTATGTGTGCCAGTCAGTTCCACAGTAACATGGTATTGCCGACTACTGGCTATTGCTAAATGTGGAAATAGATATGCTGCTACCAAAATGGCATCACAAACAATCCAATTGACAAAACCTTTAGGCAGTAAAATTGCACTCTCGACGTAATTCATTAGTTGAATCTCCTTACTAGAATTGGAACCAAGTTCCTCGAAACGCCATTTCTATTTAAAAAATATATATTTTTTTATAATGATAAAAATATTTTAGTAATTATGGGTACCAGTGTTATGCCAAAATCACCATCAATGCAAGTTTCCCATGGTAAGATGGTTATTGGTGTATTTAAACAGCGGCTTAAAACTATATGAGCTGCTTCGGGATCCATCATGAAGTTGAATTCCGCACTTTTAGTAATATTTCCTTTGCCTAATAAATAGTTAAATAAAACGTATGGTAAATGTAAATTATGTTGATATTGATTTAACTCTACAGGCCTATCATATAGTGACATATGTATGTCAGTTCAGTTTAGACACCATTCGAAGTCATTTAATACACTAAACCTCAGAAAGTGGTGAAGAAGACCGAGAATTATAAATTTTATTGCTATTTTTATAGTACCTCATCTCAAATCTGAGTGGCTTCTGGACGGTAACCAGGTAGCTACTAAAATTTTAATAGGTGCTAATTTTAGTTTTCTTAAAGGAAAACCTTTTTTACCTTTGGTTTATCTTGTCTAACCATGTTATAAAATTATATATTTGAAATGTACTAACCTCGAAAATTGCCACCCATTATATATACATTGCGTATATTATCTAGAAATTTGTCGCCATACATGTTGACACATGTCGCAAAGTTTGTTAAAGGACCCAACAGCAAAAAATCGACTTGTTTCGGATGCTAGTAAAAAACTTTTTTATATGAATAATAATAATTAAAATTTCTAAAGATATTGTATTATTTATTCTTTATTTAAAATTACCTTGCAGGCAATATTGTACATTGCGGTTACCGCATGTTCCTGACGTATTAAACTCATATCAATATCCTTCTCATGCTGTAAATCACCGAAACCATCCATGCCATGAAAATGTCTCCTGCGCTTCCAAGTACGCGGCAGTATAGGTACACCACAACCTTTATACACTGGTATCTGGTATTTACAATTATGTTATGAAACTTAATTATCTGTTAAAATAATTCAATTTACATACATCATTCCTATCGAGACTATCTAAAACTCGTAGTGCATTATTTGTGCCATTATCAACGTCTGTGTTACCATGTACACATGTTACACCTAAAATTTTATATTTTCCTGGTCCATTGCTTAGTACTTTTTCAGATAGAGATTCTCCTTTAACTAACATTATAAGAGCCCATGCATCGTCGGTACCGATGTCGCAATCAAAAACAACGTAATTTTCACACATTTTCCGATGAAAGTTTTTGAACTGAAAAATAAATTACATTTGAGTTATATCTTTTATTATACATTATATTAAAATTGATATATATCTATCTGCTTGTACTTCTGTTTTCACCCTATAGGCTTTTAAAGTATTTATTTGTAAATAATACATATTTTTATTTGTACCTATTCTTTGATTCAGCATATTTTTTTTAATATGATTTATACTCTGCTTCTTATTACAATAAATAAACAAAGAAGAAAGAAGAAAATAATTATATCTATATCAATATATATATACACATATTTATATATAAAATATAATTCTTATTTTACTTAAGGTGGCCCTTAGACCCCTTTGCAGACTTGAAAAACCATCCTAAAAATAGAAGTCCGACGGCTTCCCCTTCAGAAGGTTATCACCTCACCCTTACATGACAATTCTTTTAATGTGAATATGTCTCTCATTTAACTGGATAGCAGATTTCTCCTCATCCACAGAGCCATGACCATAACCAAAGTCATTTGAGAGCACTCGAAGTCATATTGAGTATCCTTCTATACACAACAAACTTTCAGTGACAATACTTTGACCCATTTTAGTTGAAGCATCTGATTGGTACTCATTGTGCCTAATTTGAACCAGATAAGTTTTGTTATCTGGTAAGAATCTTCTTCTACCAAGGCTTTTCTTGACAACCCAAGGTATTTACTCAATGTATAGTCATCAGTATACAAAACGATATATTTGGGCAAATATGAGCAGTTAACAAGACATATTTTTCTCAACATAAATTTCTAAAACCCAAAGTGTTATTTAGGAAGCAAAAAATGTGGATTTGTGAGACATTGATGTTAAAAAGTTCGCTTCGATTAAAAGGTAAAGTAAAATCAGGGAACATTTTTCAGTCATTTGGAAGATATGTGTTAAATACATACAATAGATTGTTTGTGTTAATGGAAAGTAGGTAGAACAGAAGTCGTTAAAGGAAACGATAGATCCAAGATATAGACGATCGGATTACAGGGTGGATGACCGGGAAAAAATATAGTTGAAATTGTTGGAACTGGGACCTTTAGTGAAGGAAGCAATGGTTAATTCTGAGTTGTGATGATATTAACAAATGTTTCTTGTTCTCATGTTGAATTTATTTGAGGTTCTTTGTAGTAATATCTTTTAGAATATTATGTGTTTGACGGCAAAACATTTATCTAGGTTTTCTTTATGAATAATATAGAATGGAGAATGTTAAAAGTGAAAGTGATGTGTGGTTACGTTATATACTTCTTTATCTTGATTTACAGACTTGCTCCGTTAATTCTTTTAATTATTTTCTTTCATTCTTTTAAATAAATTTAGTTATAAACATTGTACAAATGTTAATACAAAAATAATATACGAGTGCGTTAGCTTAATATTATATATTTGGAACCAACGTGGCTAAATCTAAGGTCAGAACAGCCTTCATTAATATTTTTCGTTCTTGAACAATTTTTGATCAGTGATCATAGTGACAGTCACAATATGTTTGCTAATATATTATTTTGTTTAAATTATTCACATAATTAGTTGTTTAATTAGAATTTTAATTGTAATTATGTTAAGTATGCTTCCCACTTTACCGGTTTCTTGTTTACAAAAATTTGGAACTTGCCCCTTCTCTTTAAATTTAAACTACCGCTCACTACTATTGTTCGCGCTCAACTAAGTAAATTTTGGCAATTTCTGAATTAGTAAAAATATCATTCCCAATTTTTTATTTTTAAGAGAATTTTAGTGTTTAAGTAAATATTTTTACTTATTTTTTTATATATTGTCAATGGTTGAGCACTCTACAATCAGGCAATATTGACTTCTAGTAAACATATAACCAATGTGATATGTTATAGTATAATGCAGATTATATATACATACTATTTATAATACATTTGTTATTATTATTATGTGAAAAATAGTAAAATTAATTTTTATAAAAATTAAAAAAGATATAAGAAATAAAACTTTTAAGACAAAATGTTTTGGCAATATAAGTAGGTACATTTGTTTGACTCTTTCTCAGCAGTAATGAATCGGCACATTCTTAAGACAAATTACTCTAGTATAATAATTATTATTAAATATTATTAAATATTTAATTTAAACGAAAAACAACGTCACAGTTGAAAGCCATAGACTGTATGTTATTTTATTGAATGATATAGGGGATTCAGTAGGATATTTTTACCTGAGGTTATATTATATTTATAAATGTGTTAAATATATATCTGGGAGTCATGTTAAAATTAAATTTCAATTTGATAGAACTTCGTAAGATTAGATCTTAATCAGATTACATAGTTTCTTATAACAAAAATTGTGTCACGAAAACAGGCACTAAGAACTGTTTTTAACCCCTACATGGTTACTTTGCACTTACCACAGGTGAAAGCATTAAATAAAAATGCATAAAAAATTGATTCAGCAAATAATTTTTTGGAAATTTGATCAAATTCAATTAAATGATTTATTTTTAACTTAAAAATATAATTACCCACAAAACATTTTCATATTTTGGACTGACATAATATACTATATTCTAAGCACCACTTCTCAGTGTGTGCTTTATTATTTAGTCAGGTACATCAAGTACCACTTGGTCCTTCTCAGCTTGATCACCTGACACACACTTTTCACAGTTTACTTTGCTCAAACTCGATTAAACACCTATAAAGTATAAGTTTTTTGATCGAGAGTGAACTCTTCATCTCATTTGCATATGAGCTTATTAGTGATACTTTCTCTGATTTCCGGGAAGGCTATATTGTATATGAAGTTCTTGACAGTTTCGAAAATATAGTCACCAGTCAGTCAGTCAGTTTGTAGTCAGTTTGTACTTTAATTTAACATCATTATTAATTTTAATCAAAAGATATTTTTTTTTCTCTACTTACTTTTAAAATATTATATACTTCAAGCACAGAAATGAATAAAACTTATATTAAAACAAATAAAATTCACTTTTTACACTTTTTATACTATAGACAAGAGAAGGTATATGTGTTTTATAAGCCAGTAAGGAAAACTGATATAATCAGAGATAATATAAAAATATATTTTATTATTAAACACCCTAAATAGTCTAGCCGTTAACTTATAAGGAAAGTCTTTTATATAACGAAAAAAATTTCTTCTTAATTGACAAACGTAGGGTGCAATCATTTAAATTTTAATAATTACTAACCGACATTTAGATGATAATTTTACTTTATTGCTCAATGCAGTCTTTACAATATAATAGATAATAGTGATAAACAAATACAATAATTTTCAACAAAGCAATACGCTATATAAACAGAGATAATAATTGTGTAGTTAGTTACTTAAATAATGAAATCTATATGTTTACGTAAAATGTAGGAATCTATTATCTTAAGTGAACTAAACAGTGAGCTATAAATACTATCAAGTTATGACAACAAACATAAGAAACTATAACACCGAATTGAAGATAAGACTAAAATAATATAAACAACAGTGGATTGTAAGGTACCGATAAGAAGATTTAAAAAATCTATTTTTTAGTTTATTCTCCATTTATCTTAAAAAATAACCTCCATATATCTCAAGTATAACTGAATTAAAGTATTTTAAAATGATTAGATTTAAAGAGCGTATCTTGTAGAATGCCAAAATTTTATGAGAAGTTCTTATCTAAATAGTCACTAAAAATTATTGTTATCAATATGAAACTTCTTATAATCGTTATTAGTGTTGATATCACTAATTAGATTAATTTTTATGATATTTCATGTGCTTAATTGGTGAAGAGATTAGATATAAACTACAATGTTTCACAATCATTTCACAGGGTTTTATTTTGCATTTTTTGGTTAATATTGTAATCTAAAGTCTGTTGTGAGTTAAAAATTGTCGGATAGCATTTGCTATATTACTATATTATATTAATTACATTGTTTTATAAGACCAATTACTATCGACATCATTTCCTACAGTAATAAAATCGAACATTGAGACGATCTTTAGGGGTTTAAAAAAAATAAATCAATTTCATTAATTTTGTCTTAAAGAACAAAGATTATACTTACTTTCTTGTACATAGTTTTATTTTTTAATAAAAAATACCAGTTGTATTGTACTAAGTTATTATATTTCGGCATATTACTAGAATTCAGAAGAAAAATTTAAATGAAGGCAACAGTAAAGTGGCTAAGCTATATATAGTAAATCATAAAATATTAGTTTCTCATTTAGTATTATTAAATATAATAATTACAAAAAATTTTTAAAGATACTTAATTATAATTTATAAACAAGAAATATTAAACTTAATTCTCAGCTTACTTTACCAATAATTACTATATACTTGTTAATATAATAATATACATACTTATATATATCATATATAAACTATAATATAATATATAATATGGTAATAAACTGGGTGGGAAGCGTTAAATATCTCGAAATCACGTTGAACAAACGATTCACATGGGTTAAATATGTTCAACTGAAAATTCTTCATCATGATAATAATCAATGATAAGAGAAGGAAACTGATATATAACCAAATAATTCGTTCGTCACTTCTATATGGATGTGTAGCGTTTAGCAAAGCTTCAAACATTACTATTCGCCAGTTAGAAATTGCACAAAATCAGGCTCTGAGAAGACTTTTCAAAGTACCATTAGGACCTCAAGATTGAAAAATACATACATCAAAAATGCATAAAGGATAGAGCCCTGATATTATTTGCGAAAACTGACAGACTTACCAACACCGCGTTTTCAAATCTCAGAATGGTTACAGGTTTCTCGGGGAGGTATGCAGAACTGAGGTCAATTATTGCTTAGTTTGATGAAATGATAAACAATAATCCAGTGCAATAGGAGGTCAGCAGTTATGTATTCCCTTCCCATAGTTAGCTATTTTTCGCTGTTTTACTACCATCATTTTGATCATTTAATCATTTTGAGTTTAGGTAATTTGACGGATATTTCTTTCTACCGATGTTCAGTCTGACAAATTGTCAAAGAAGTGTTTC